AATCGCTGGAACCTGGGAGGCAGAGGTTGCAGTGAGCCAAGATCGTGCCACTGCACTCCAGCCTGGGTGACAGAGCGAGGCTCTGTCTAAAAGAAAATTATAATAATATAAAAATAAAATAAAATGGTTAATTTTATATAATGTGAATTTTGCCTCAACACATTATTTCGAAAAATATAAATGACTGTTTAAAGCAACAACAATAACATTATGCCTTGGGTTTATATTATATGTAGAAGCAAAAGGTATTACAACAATAGCACAAATGATGGGAGATACAAAAGTATGCTGCTGTAAGGTTCTTACCTGTCCATGAGGTCACATAATAGCATCTGAAGGTAGATCGTGATAGCTAAAAACGCTTGTTTTAAACCCTACATCAACTGCCCCCCAAAAAAGTTATAGCTAATAAGGAATGGCAGAGATAAAGTCGAAAATTAAAAGATTTCCATTATTCCTTATCTCTCGAGAAGGTAGAGCTTAATTCCCACTCTCTTGACTGTGAGCTGAATTTAGTGACTTGCATGTAATGAATATAATTTCAAAAGGGAAAAGCAGTGACTTTACAATGGGGAAACCTGGCAGACACCACCTTGACCAAGTGGTTGAGGTGAACATCACCAATAAGTCAAGTCCATATCATGTACCCCCTGATTTGATGGGATGACAAGGACACATCACCTCAATGGTATTCTTTCCAGAAATCCATATCCACAAACCAATCAAAAGAAAATATCAGGCAAACCCAAATTGAGAGACCTTCTATAAAACACAAGACCAGTACTTCTAAAAACTGTCCAGGTCATCGAAAAACAGAAAAATCTGAGAAACAGTCATAGCCAAAAAGAACCTAAGTAGACATGATCATGATTAATTGAAATAGGATCCTGGAACAGAAAAAGACATTAATGGGAAAACTGGGAAAATCCAAATAAAGTCCGTAGTCTAGTTAATAATTTCTTATGTTTGAGAAATATACTGTGCTTATGTCAAGTGTTTATGAAAGGTTGGATGAAAGGTCTATGGAAACTCTGTATTTCATAACTCTTCTATAAATCTAAAATTCATTTTAAACAAAAAGTTTTTAAGAAAATATTAGTCCAGGCGCAGTGGCTTACTCCCGTAATTCCAACACTTTGGGAGGCTGAGGTAGGCAGATACCCTGAGGTCAGACGTTCGAGACCAGCCTGGCCAACATGGTGAAACCCCATCTCTACTAAAAATACATTAGCTGGGCGTGGTGGCAGGAGCCTGTAATGCCAGAGGCTGAAGCAGGGGAATCACTTGAGCCCAGAGGCGGAGATTGCAGTGAGCCAAGATCCTGCCATTGCACTCTAGCCTGGGCGACAAGAGCGAAACTCCATCTCAACAAAAATAAGATAAAATACTCAACCCAAAAGAGGGCAAAAAAAGGGGAAAAGCTGACAAAGAATAGAAAGAAGAATAGAAAATAAACAAAGAAATGGATGACCTAAATTCAATGATCTCAATAACGACATCAAATGTGAAGGGACTCTAAGCAGTACGATTAAAAGTTAGAGATTGTCCTATTGTATTAAAAAGAAAATTGGACTCAACATTTTAAACATAAAGACACAGATGGGTTAAAACTGAAATGATAAAGATGGGCCAGGAGTGGCTATATTAATTTCAAAGTAAGCGTCAAGACATAGACTATTACCAGGAATAAAGACATGTATAATGATAAAACAGCCATCAGGACAATATAACTATCTTAAATGTGTATGTACCTAATAACAAGCTTCAAAATACATGAACTCAAAACAGACAGAATTGAAATAAGAAATAGACAAATTTGCAATTATAGTTGGAAAGTTCAACAGTTCTTTCTCAGCAACTGATAAAATAAGTAAACAGAAAATCAGGAAGAGTATAAAAGACTTAAACAACACCTTGGTTGGATGTGGTGGCTCACACTTGTAATCCCAGCACTTCGGGAGGCCGAAGGGGGCAGATCATTTGAGGCCAGGAGTTCGAGACCAGCCTGGCCAACATGGTGAAACCCCGTGTCCACTATAATAAAAATACAAAAATTAGCCACGCATAGTGACAGACGCCTATAATCCCAGGTACTAAGGAGGCTCAGTGGGAGAATCACTTGCGCCTGGGAGGCGGATGTTGCAATGAGCCGAGACAGCACCTCTAAACTCCAGCCTGGGTGACAGAGTGAGACTGTCTCAAAAACAAAAAAAAATAAACAAAAAAAACCCCACTTAAACAGCACCATCAATCAACCTGACCTAACGGACATGAATGGAACACTGTACTCAATATCTGCAGAATACACGTTCTTCTCAAGCACATGTGGAACATTCTCCAGGATAGACCATAAGCTAGACGATCAAACAAGTCTCAATAAATTTAAAAGGACTGAAATCATATAATGTATGTTCTCTGATCTCAACAGAATTAAATTCAAAATCAATAACAAAAAAGGTATCTATGGAATCCTTAAATCTCTGGAAATTAAATGACACACTTCAAAATAATCCATGGGTCAAAGAATAAATCAAACGGGAAATTGAAAAGCATTTTTAATTGAATGAAAATGAAGGCAACATATAAAAATTTGTGGGATGTCACGAAAGCAGTATTTAGGGGGAAGTTTATAGCACTCAATACCTATATTAGGAAACAAAAAAGGTCTCAGATCAATGACCTCAGCTTTGTTAAAAGAAAAACTCTAGACAAATTAAATTTAACAGAGTTAAATTCAGCAAAGACCAATTTGCAAATCAGGCAGCTTCCTAAACCAGAATAGATTTAGACTGACTCCAGCACTGCCATGTGGTTGGAGAAAATTGATGTACAGAAAAAGGAAAGTGATGTACAGAAAATGGAAGTGTGGGCTGGGAAGAGTGGCTTATGCCTGTAATCCTAGCACCTTGGGAGACCAAGGCAGGCAGATCACTTGAACCCAGGAGTTCGACACCAGCCTGAGCAACATGGTGAAACCCCATCTCTACAAAAACTAAAGAAATTAGCCAGTTGTGGTGACACGTGCCTATAGTCCCAGCTTCTCAGGAAGCTGAGGTGGGAGGATTGATTGCTTTAACCCCAGAGGCAGAGGTTGAAGTGAGCCAAGATTGTGCCACTGTATTCCAGCCTGGGAGACAGAGTGAGACTCTGTCAAAAGAAAGAAAGAGAGAAAAAGAGAGAGAGAGAGAGAGAGGAAAGAAGAAAGAAAGAAAGAAAGAAAGAAAGAAAGAAAGAAAGAAAGAAAGAAA